ATCTTGTGGCCTGTTATAAACTGGTTAGGGGGGATCAGCAGGCGCTGGGGGAGTCCCTGTTCCCCCGAGCGCCGCAAGGAGTGACCAGGAACAACGGTCACAAGCTGGCGGAGGGAAGGTTTAAGTTGGACATCAGGAGGCGCTACTTCACGGTCAGGGCGGCTAGAGTCTGGAACCAGCTTCCAAGTGAGGTGGTGCAGGCTCCCACCCTGGGGGGTTTTAAGAGGAGGTTGGATGACCACCTTACTGGGGTCATTTGACCCCAGTACTCTTTCCTGCCATGGCAGGGGGTCGGACTAGATGATCTGCTCAGGTCCCTTCCAACCCTAGCAACTATGAAACTATAAATTGTCCAGGATCACTCAACAGGCGAGAAGCATAGCCTGGAAGAGAGTTGCAGCCCAGTTCTCTATCTGCCAGGCCACACTACTGTTCAGGAAAACACTGGCACATGCGGAGAAGGACCAAAGGATACTTTACAAATTAAGAAGACAATATATCATTTAAGAAGATGAGATGCAAAGGAACACAGAGCCACAGGAACTTCCAGACCAGACAAGCGCTCTATCTAGATTGGCATCCCGTCTCAGAGCAGCCAGTGTTGGAAGCTTCAGGGGAAGTCGTAAATTACTCGTTATGTGAAGTACGTGTTAACATGCAAATGGGAAAAGGTTTTGCTAGCTATGTTAGGCCCTTTGCCACAGGCAGCCCAAGGCCTACAGACCGCTGAAAAGAGGGCTGAAGTGGAACTTAAGTAGTGCATGGATCTTGTGCTGGCTCTGCAGAGGAATGAATTTCCCTCCCAAGTCACTACAGTTTTTTGAATCCTTTGTAAAGCTGTTAGCCTCAATAAAATCTGGTGGCAGAGGATTTCAGGGCTAATTGTGTGGCTCCTGGTCAAAAAACCCTTTTCCTGTAGTCACATTTTGATCATGTCACCTTTTGTGGAGGCCCAAAGCAGTGCAAAGGAGACCAAAGTTCAGCCCATGTCACAACAGGGCCAGCACTGCTGTTTGGTTTTTCTTTCCCAGGTTCCACTGACAATTATAAATCACCAGATTCCAGATAATCTCTTTGCTGCAAGGGTGAGGGGTCATGGGACTTTTGGAAGAAATGCTCTACAAGCAAGTCCAGGAAGGTTAGGGTAAGATCATGTCAGGTTTGGGAATTCTCCCCATGATAGGACCGATACAAGGAAATACCTTGCTCTTACCTTCACAATAGGCTCTCCGGTCACTATGGAAACAGGGCATGACTTCTCATCTTGGTGGGAGGCAAAGGCCTGTGTTGCCCACTGATCCACGTATCCTTTGGGAGTGTAAAGGCCACAGTCCAGGATACTGCTTCTTCTCTCAAAAGGCTCACACTCTCCATCACCATCATGGACATAACACAGGCTCGGCTCTCCTGCAGAGGGGCCAAAGGCAACAAAATTTATACAGATGCAACCCAACATCTATCTATGATACTTCTGATGGGGCAGGGGGTCCTAGCAAGGAGAATAGCTCACTGCAAGGATGATATAACATGGGGCAGGGAAGAAAGGTCAACACTTTCTCGCTTGCTGGGAACAACAAAGACAGAAGGTTGCACAGAACCTGGGTCTCATTGTGTAAAGCAGGGATGTCAAACATATTGCCCATGCCTGTGGGGCTCCTGGTGGGCCCAAGAATTTTGGGGCAGGGTGAGTGTAAGGGGTAGGGCCTATCACACAATTTGGGAAGATGGGGCCCTGCTAGAGGTGCCTTTCTGAGGTTGGAGGGTGAATGATGGTTCTGCCACCACTGCTGCTTGCCCAGCAGCTGCTGGCCAGGTCCGGATCTGACCTGCAAAGAGCCCTGATCTGCAAGGATCTGACCTGCAAGGATCCAGCCCAGGGAGGGTGAGTTTAACACCCCTCATCTAAACAGATGGGTGTGAGTAAGAACAGCATGGATATGCTCAGCATGTCTGGACTGGGCTATGATTAGCAAGCAGCATCTGGGCTTGTTGAGGGATGGAATCTACACTACAGGGACAAGATGGGATCTGTAGACTGCCCCAGGAGCACAGCTTGAAGACAGATATTCTGCAGTAATGGGCCAAGTGACTAGGTGTTCAGAGGAGTGTCACTGCAGGGTCTGGACAGAAGGGGTAAGGTGAAAGGTCTGCCCCAGCTGACATGGCCCTCCAGGTTAAAGTGCTCCAGTTTCTGCAGCCAATGTTGAACACATGATAGACTTACTTCTGGGCAGGGCAAATTGTATCTGGAGTTAGAGCAGCAAGCAGGCTAAGTTGGCCTTGGTTGGCCTGGGTTACCAAGTGGGCCTGGCTAACAGTAGCCTAATTACGCCCAGATGGCCCCAGTTGCCTGCATGGGTAAGATTAGCTGCTTGAAGCAGCAGTTCCTTTAGTGTCCAACAGGTTATTCAAGAGTAGATGCCACTGCCTACCCTTGGGCTTCTGACTGTGTGTCCCTACTGTCCTGGGTCCTGCCTATTGGGTCCTAGTTTCCCAGTCCCTGAGTCCCACTTATTGGCTTCCTGGCTTCATCCTTGTTCCTGGTTCTTCCCCATTAGTTTCTGGCTCCTGCAGGCTGCCTCCTTGTTCCAGACCTCTGCCCAGACGCCTTTGCTTCCAGACTGCCTTGCCAGCTCCTTGACCCCTGTGTTCCAGCCCAGACCCCTGATTTCTGACAGTTGCCTCCAGGCTTTAGTTTGGTGATCTCCCACATCCTGGTCCCTTACAGCTGCATACTCCAAACTCCCTAGCCAGTGTCTCCAGTCTGGATCCTTGCTCCCGACTCAAGACTCTATGGTCGTGCCCTGCCCAACCACATCCTGGTGGCTTACAGACCTTGGCCTGTTGACCTGCCTGCTCTTGACCCCTGGGTTGTGACCCTCTAGGGTTAAGCCCCGATCACCTACATCCCAGTTGTGCTCCTGACAGAGTGATCTTCCTGAACTCACCAACACAGTTGAAGCCCTTTTCCTTTTTGCATGTCCTAGAGCAGCCATCTCCATCCAACAGATCCCCACCATCACATTCCTCATCCATGCTCCTAGGAGAATGTCAGCAAGAATCATTAAGACCACCCTTGCCTACAACTTTCAGGCTGGAATCTGATAATGATTCAATGGTTAAAAGCTACTACTGAGTCAAATTTCATGGATGGGGCCATGGGATGACAGTGTATGGAGAAAGCAGAGTATGACTTTTGTCAGGGGGTAAAGGGCTGGAAAACCCCATTGGCAGAGGGGTTTCCCATTTCCCACCATTCCCATTCCCATTTTCCCCTGAGGTTTCAAGATGGGATTTTGTGTGAAAGGGCAGCTACCAAGGCCCAGGAGCAGGTCCAAGGGGGGTGCCATGGTGCAGTTACACGTCCTCCCTTGATCCGTTTGAGGATAGTTGAGGATGGTTCTGCTTTAAACAGAAGACTGGACTAGATGACCTCTTGAAGTCCCTTCCAACCCTACTTTTCTATGCTTTCTGCTCCACTCAAACTTAAAATCAACTGCTTGGGAGAGGCGGTGGTATTCAGGCAGCGGTGAGAGAGTCAGTTGGCTTCATAGCTCATTATAATCTATTCAAACTATCTGTTCTTTTGTAATTTTACTATCTGTTAGGCATTCCTGGTAATGTCTCTCTTCTATTTCACAACCCTGCAGACCATTTTTAGATCTAGCTAAAAACCTTAACTCAGCTATGGTAATATTAATTCAGGTGTGGAAATGACTGACAATGAAGTATTGATGCATTGTAAAGAGACTCAAGAAGGCTAGATTTTGTTTTATAAATCTAAATAACAGAGTACATATAACTATCAGGAATACAGCACTAATAATCTTTTGACTATTTTTTGCCTAGGTTGTTGTGTTTTCTAAACTTGATATATACACGCCGTGTCTATGCAAGATGATGACTGCACAGTTGTTACTATGCAGTCATTTAATATTTGTACAAACAGGTATTAAATGACTGTGCAGTAACCAGGTTTACTGTGCAGTCACACCAAGGAACAGCAGTTTTGTGAAGCTGACTGCGCAGTATCTTATGACTACTGTGCAATAGTGTCACATCATGCTTCCTGCCATGCAATGGTACTGCGTGGTACTCATGGGATACTGCACAGCCAGCCTCTCATGTAGATGTGCCAATAATCTAGCAAGTTAGTGCACATTCCAATAAAGTTATATTTGTTTCTGCTTTGATTTAAAGCAGCACTAGGCTGCTAGCATATTAGTAAAGCTTCTAGTTTCTCATTAACTGGAGAAAAATATGTTGCATTATACATGATGATGTGCCACACCACCTGTACCTCCCTTTTCAAAATCCTAGATCCATCCATGCTGAAGACACATCTGGAAAGAGTTGCTGGAGAACTGTGAATGCAGTGAGGAGAAGATGAGAGGTGGAGTAGGCAGAAAATCTTTCTGGTGTAACAACCTGCAGGTTTCTGCAGGTTGGAACACAAGTTGTAGTGGGGATGATTTGGAGGGCAACACCAGAAAGCTCCATGCCCTTGGAAAATTTTGCAATAGCTCCAAGCACACATTGCACCTCATGGCTGCAAACAGCAGCTTGGATAAAGATCTAATTTTTTGTGGTCCAAAAGAAGTGCCTTTATTGCTGTGCAGAGCTCTGTGCATGAAACATCTGGGAAGCAGCAGGTTTTCTGGTAGCAAGTGGAGAAGGGGAGGTGAGAGAAGAGAGGGTTGAGATAAGCAAGCAAGGGCACAACTCCAAAAAACTCTGTCCTGTACTTCACAAGAACAAGAAAACAGTTTCCAAGAGCACAGCCTGCCACTACACTGCAAAAGCTGGTCTGATGGCAAAACTAAGGGAAATGTTATACCAGGAAGAATGTCCATGTTATTACATGGATCCACAAAGACATCACTTCAAAAGCAGCCTTCAAACACAAGTGCAACTTCCTGCACATTATCATCAAAAAGATCTAGCAAGTTGAACCACTTCTACTGTTATATCACAGGGGCGGGCAATTATTTTGGGCAGAGGGCCACTTACTGAGTTTTGGCAAGCCATTGAAGGCCACATGATAGGCAGCCAGGGGCAGATAAATATTAATTTTCTAAATTTTTTAGGGGCGCTGTGGGCCGGATAGAATGGCCTGGTGGGTCACATCCAGCCCCCGGGCTGCATTTTGCCCACCTGTGTTATATCACCCTGAAGGCTTGAAGGGAAGGATTTGTTAAAAGTGGGTTCCCCAAACTGCATTCCTAACTACACCTGAGATCAGTAACATTATACTATGTTACATTCTCAGCTGCTTACTCCCATTTACTCTGCCTGTTCTGCCTTTCCAACATCAGTCATCTTGGATATCAGGGCTAATGTGGTCATTACCTCACTGGAGTCCATGACCAGATTACACCAGCTGAAAGTATAGACCCCTGTTTCTAATCAACTTCCCCCTTGGGGTTCCTATACCAGCATAATCCTTTTCCTTTTGCTTTCACAAAGCTGTGAGGGAAGACCAGATTTAAAAAAGCTGTGAGAGAAACACACTGACAATTTTTCATATTTTTTAGTGAAAAGCTGACGCAGAGTTTTTCACTGAAAAACGGTTCTGATAAAACTGTAAGTTGGAAGTCAGAAAAAGTCAAGTAGGAAATATGGCATAATATTTTACCATGGAGGATAATTAAGCACTGGAATAGGTTGCCAAGGGATGTGGTAAGTTTCCATCACTTGAAGAGTCTTTAAATCAAGACTATGTTGCTAAAAGATATGCTCGAGGTGAACCATTAGTTTCCAGGTTTGATGCAGTAGTTGCTGGGTGAAATTCTATGGCCCATGCTTTGCAGGAAATCAGACTCAATGGCCACAATGATCCCATTTGGAGTTAACAACTGTGAAACTTTATTATAATTAGATGGGTCATAACCAAAACCCTGGATCCAAGCACCTGCCAACTTTGGGAGAAGTTCAGATCAGAATCCATGTCCCAACTCCACACCTCTCAAGGCCCACTGCTAACTCCTGGAGATAATGAAGCTTTGCAACAGGCCTATGTGCTGCTTAAGGGACCACAGGCCAATGCCCACTAAGAAATGCTGCAAGTCTCCCTTAGAAGGGAGGCCAACTGGGCAAGAAACAACCAATTCCTTGGGACAAATCAAAATATAACCCAGACAGGAGTGAGGTCATAGGTTTAATGAGTGCACCAAGGGGGGGCACTCAGCAGACCACACTGAACTGTGCCCACTGGTTCATGAATGAACCCAAGGAGCCAGTGGACACTACCCAGTGAAACTCTGCCTGGAGACAGGTTTGGGGCAGGGACAGAAAAGCCCCACAGTCCCTGGGGGTCCTCCCGGCCAGAACCTCCTTCCTGGTGAGATAGATGGCTAGCCTAGCTTGGCTCAGGCCAGGAGGAGGTTGACCAGAAGGTCCTGGAACTGTGTGGGGCTAGAGATGGGGAGTGCACAAATAACCAGGTGAGAAGAACAGTGCAGCCAGAACCTCAACAAGAGGGCCCGAAGGAGGTAGTGAAGGGGCTGTAGCCTGGTGCACTCAAGGTAGGTGTGAGCCAGGGTCTCCCTCTGCTTACAGGAGAGACAGGTGTTGGGGGTGTCTGTGAAGCACACCAGATACATGCCCATGGCAACAGGTTTGTGAAGGAGCCTCCAGCTGAGATTCCCTGGTGGATAATGGTATTGAGATGGAATACAAACTTGTCCACCAGGGACCCTAGTCCTTGTCGAGCATGTCCTACCACTTGACTTGGTCCGGGTGGGATGTGAGGATGGGATAGTGGAAAGCGCTGACTACAACCATGTAGAGCTGGCCATGATGGGTGGCTCAGAAATGGACCAACTTGTTATCCCTCATGCTGCTTAAATGTTTTGGGTTTCATCATCAGTTTAGCTGGGTTGGCTGGGAGCCACCAAGTTTAGAGGAGTTTCCATGGCATAAATCTAGTGTATCTGAATGGCAGATTAGGCTGGTTTGGTTTAGTTTTAGGATGCAACCTGCTTAACAGGACTTCTTTGAAAATAACTTTCTATCTTGTGTGGAATGCTATACTTACATGGTCACTTTTCCATCTCCACAATAAGGAGCACCATGAATGTGGATTAATGGTGGTGAGGGTTCTCCCATGGCTGTCCCGGCCACCCCCTGGATCTGGTAGCGGTACAGTTCACCTGGTGTGACTTCCCTGCGGAAACACAGAGGAATCCAACAAACTGTGAAAGACAGCAATAGCTTTAAGCAAGACATATGCCTATATGTAGCTATTTACAACAGATTCATGAGAGACACTGGGTTTGGCTTTAGACCCTGGGACTCACATGCTCTGTACAAAGGCAGAATAGAAAGTTAACAGCCCTGTGGAAGCTGCACAACCAGGTGGGAAACCAGGGGACATGCATACATTAGAGATCCTCTTCCACTGTAGCTGTGCCAGCAGAGCTGTATGAATAGAGTCCTTTACTAGAGTCACAGCACTTGTCAGTTGTAGAGGTTTGCTACTGGCATGGTTATGCCACTTCCTCAAATGAGAGAAGCTAACCTGGCAGAAGCCCTCTTTTATGGGTACAGCCTCATCTCTACCTGAACTTTTGCCAGCTTAGGAGGTCAATGAAGCTGTGAGAGCTTTTCACAGTCCTCATTGATCTAGTGTACACCTGGCCAAAGGTGAAGTTCTCGACTCATTTGCTCCCTTTCCAGAGCTGCTGATGAAGAGATGTTAGCTTGTTTCCTCACAGCAAATGATTTAGGAGCTCTGTAAAAAGGTTTCATATAGGATTTTCAGTAGTGCTTAGTAATGATCTAATTATGCACCCAGTAATGTCAGTAATCAAACTCCCCGTGAGCTCACAATGGAAGCAGTGTTCAATGAATGCTGCAGTCTTTTGAAAACCCACACTGAATATCCTTCCACCCACTCTCAACACCTTTCCACTCTATCTGTGTGTCGCAGAGGGCACTAGGAATGTGACTAAGAATATCCTGCAAAACTAATGGATACAGTTTTTTAAACCACCAAAGAACCACTGACTTTCAAAGGGAATTAGATTTCTAAGTGCCTAAGTGACTTTTGATACAGGTACTTTGGCTCTTAAATTGCTCAGGTGCTTTTGGAGTATTTACCCAATGGCTAGATGGCTAAGGAAGCAGAATACTGAGAAAGGGAAACAGGTAAAAGGTAAAGTGGTATGGGTGGGAGTGAAGAAAGAACATCAGGAGTGGGACAACTGGTCCTTAGTGCCTTACTGAAGTTTGCCTTGCCAGCCACCATTGTTGTTGTAGTCACTTAACTGCAGATTCAGATCTGGATTCAATTCAAATCTGGATCTGGGTTCTGAATTCCCTCAAAAGTTTAGGGTACTGGGAATGAGACTTTTGATTTGGCCCATTATGATGGCAGCTTGGCAAATTCCAATCTAGATTCTAATTTCTGACATACCCAAAGTCTAGCACTATTTAGGTCTGAGATGGGTTGTGGCCCATCTCTAGTATTATAAAAGTTTCAATAAAACATTCAGTGTGACAGTTGGCTAGCTGAACCAAGAGTTTTTGGGTTTGCTGCAGGAGTCATTATCTGATTTGTATGGTGCAGAAAGTCAGATAATGAGGTCTAAAGGCTCTTTTTGTATTGGGATACAAGCTTTAGGAATATCTGACAGTGCAGTCTGTGTACAAACACACAAACAAAAATACAGGTATGCCTACCCCCCATTCTAAACTGCTATAAGCAGAAATTATAAGGGGAAGGTCTTTGCCAGGTAATACAGAAATGCCTGTCACTTTTCTCTCAAACCATCTCGTGGCATTGCCTCTTGCTCTTTATGTCTTGTACATTCATTACACAACTGGGAAATGCCTCAAAGGTAAGGGGTTCCTTCCAGTTGGCTCATCTTGATGAGTATTTAGTTACATGAAACTGCTATATGCACTTGGGTGTTTTAGGGCAAACTCTGGTGACGGATACAGAGTCCACTTGTGAGATCAAACATTTCAATCCTAAAATGACCAATGAATCTAAAAGGACAGCAATCAGAACTAGAACCCCCATAAACAACATAGCCTCTGATGAATCAACCTTGCTACTCACGTGTCAGTGAACTTTCGGTGCATCTGTATCCCTGCAATGGGGGACCCATTAGCAAATGGTGGGTCCCGAAGGACCCGGTACCGTATAGGCTTGCAGTTGGAGCAGAGAGGGCTCTGAGGCACGGAGGTTAAGAGAGCAGCATCTATCTCCATTCTTTCATCAAAGGTATAGACCTTTACCCCAGATACCTTCTTGTTGATGTTGAGCTTAATGGTAAGAGGGATGTCACAGAAGGTGTCCAGGGGTCCCAAGGGGATGGATTCCCCATGCTCCGTCAAGATTTCAATGTTGGAGAGAGCCTTGGGTGAGTCTGTGGAGAGGTATGTGGTCCAGAGCATAAGTGAATCTGGGTAAACAGGATGCAGGAAATGCAGCTCCAGGATACAGCCATAAGGCTGAGGGCAAGGGACAGTCATGTTCATATGATACAGGTGGAGCTCTGGGCTCCAGGCTTGCAAGCTGGGCTCACAGGGCTGATCCACATCTGGAGGCCCTAGACACAGGAAAAATAAGGATCCCTATAAGGAGCAGGGTATCTTACTTCAGAGATATGATCCTCTATAGGTACATGCATCTTATCACTGGTCACCTGTGCAGATGCATGCATGCACATACACACGCATCTTGTGTGGACATACAAACTACATAACTTACTGCTGTATGTACAAACATACACATATATGTGTGCATACACACCACACATAAATAATACCACAGAGGACAAACACATATTGGAGCACGCAAATGTTTGACACATTTGGTTATCTATGCACAAATCCTGAGATCCCAGCAGGCAGGAAGATACAAAGATCCTATAAGCGTGTACACATGCACAGATTTATGCACACCTGCTTGTACCAAACATGTTTGTGCAAACATGGTTGCACCAGTATGATAACTCAGGCAAAAACACACATACTATACAGAGCAGTGTACACACAATACCACATTTACACAGATGTGCATTTTGATAGAACCATAGACATATCTGTATATACAGACAGACACATGCTCACTATAATCACAAATACAGGCCAAAGCATACATGCTTAGAAACATATATTGACATATGCTGCCACAAATACATAGTGTACACAGTAATGCAAATAACAGAAGACCTCCACATCTCCAGACATCTCCCCATGCTCAGCTATTGTCTGGATGCTCACAAACACACTTGTGCATACAGACGCAAATGAACGCATGCACTGCCCCAGGAGGACTCTGTGGCTGATCTCAATGCCACGAGCAGTTCTAACTGTACACCAGGGATAGAGGGAAAAATCAACTTAAGTTCTTTGTGAGCAACCCATGCCCACTTTCAGCATAAGGGTCCATGTGGAGCATCCCTCCCATTCACAGAAGTAAAAGAAGCCAGTTTTCAGGTATATGCCATTCAAGTACTCACATCTGAGGCAAGCTATAAGTGTAGACAGATGAACAGTAATAACACTTTACAGCTACTTTGCTGTAACTGTTTTGTCTGCCATCTCTAAGGCATTCAAAGTAGGAGCTAAACCATTATAACTTTAAACCTGTTTTATACAGCTCCCCAACAATTTATTTGGCTCTACTCTTTTGGTACTGTAAATTATTTGGCTCCACTATTCCAAGTACATGAGTGGACAGAGACAGCAGTTGCACTGGTTCAACAGTCATGCAATCTCTAGCAGCAAGATGCCCCCTGCCTTTTAAAATGGTTTAGTGTTATGTCTGCACAGAATCCATGGGAAATGCATGGGTGTGTGCCTGTTTGTTGCCTTCTGCAACCAAGTGAAACTACCCTGTGCACCTCATGTGGAGCTAGACTGGAAAGGGCTGGGGCAAGAGTGTGTGCTCCTGCCTGCCTTAGGGTTATATGATAAACCTAAAGCAGGCAGAAGCACCCACTCTGCCACAACCCTTTCCAGCATGACCCTGCATGCTTCTCCACAAAACAGAGGTGTTGTCCCATGGGACAGTTCCTCTTGGTTGTGGTGGCAGCCTGGTTGAGAAGCACTGAGGCAGCACAATAAGGATTCTCAACAAGGGGGGTGCTAAATACAAAAAAGTTATGGAGGGGTGCCCCAACTCCAAAAAGGTTGAGAACCACTGATCTAGGCATCCCAACTGTTCCCATTTACTGGTATCTCCAGTTAACATCCTGGGCAAAGAAAACTGACTTCCAAAACATCTAGAGAAGCTGCAGTCAGAGCTGTAACTTCCTTGTGGTAAGTGAAAGAGAAAAGACAAAGCACTTTACCTACTGCCTCCTCTGGGGTCCAGTATCCGGAGGAGTCACAGACCCGAGGGGAAGAGGCCTCATGTACATACTGGCTGAAAGTCCCATCTTCAGCACAGTCTCCACAGAGGGTGCCAGGCTCTCTAAAGAGCAGTGAGAGAAAAATGAAAAAGACACATCCATTTACAGTCTGGATTCTCCTCCATTCATCCCCATCTTGGGATGCCTGGACGAGTTGTGGGAACCCCAAAGAAGTCAACCTCTGGTCAGCCACTTGACCTGCATGTGCTTCAAGTAACCTCTGGAAAAAGCTAGAGAGAGAGAGAGAGTGGCTTTGCAGCAACCTGGCTTTGACTCCAATTGTGTCACAAATTCCTTGTAGGACCCTGGACAAGGCACTAAACACTCTTTGCCTCTGTTCCTCATCTGTACAATGGAGATGATAGTATCCCTTGGCTTGGCTTGTTAATTTGGGCTCCAAGCTCTTTGAGATAGGACTGGTCTCATTGTGTGTGTGCACGTATGGGACCCAGCACAAAGGATCTCAATTCTGACTTCTTGGGATAACCATAACAAAAATAAATGATATTAACCACCAGGGACAGCATTAATCTCACCAGTAGAGACAGAGAGAGAGGAGAGAGAGAGAGAGAGAGTACTCCCTGCTTTAAGGAGTCTGTAAAATATTCCCTTTGATTGGTATAGAAGGGTCTGTAGCACTGGCAAAGAGCCTAACTGGATTTAAGATGGAGCATGGTGGGTTAAATGAAAGAGGTTTACATGACATGATTGCCTGTGATGGGCAGAGTACCAGACTTGGTGGCCCAGCAGATCCCTTCCTGTCCTACGTTTCTACTTTCATATCTTTTTCAATCATAAGCTTAGTCATTTCCTATCAGAGCCATTCTTTTGATTACCCAAGTCCACCTAATAGCTCAGAGTAGCCCAGGTTAGGTGATATGCACTTTTAGGAGCACTGACAAAGCATTGTGTATATACCATTTGGTGCAGCATATGACTGATTACGGTATTCTGTGATTGTCCAGGAAGTCCTCAGCCACTGATTTTCTTTGAATTGAAAGGGAACAGATTTGTAAAATAGCTTTAGAGGGATGTGCAATTTCATTCATATTTGGAAAGGGCTTTCATTTGGTAGTTGTCAGAGAAATGCAAAGTATTATTCTTATTCTTTTCCAAACGTCTTATGGGTGTACACCCATTGCAAATCACAGCTTCCACAAGTAGAGAATATCCACAAGGATTTATTCAACCAAATATATAAGCATGTGCTTTAGTGCACCCCATTCACTTAAACACTTGAATTTGTGCTTAACTTTAAGTAGGTACCTAAGACCCATCAAAGTTGATGGGATTTAAATAGCACATGCATGAAGTTAAGCAGTTGTGAAAGCAGTTCACTGAATAGGCATGGACTGCTGAATCAGGGCCTTAGCTAGAGTCACTCTCATGCTTGTACGAGCATTTGCCTGGCTATTAATAATCAGAAGACTACATACAGCTATGTCTAAAGTTCATGAGAATCAGTGGGAATCTTTTCACTGACTTCACTGGGTTGTGGATTAGGCCCATAGTTCAAAATACAGTGGGAATGTCTATATAAGATGCTACAGTGACATAGCAACGTGATGCAGTGTCGGCAGTCACAAACTGTGACATCGCAGCTACATCACTGTAGCAATGCACTCCTTCAGTATAGTGCACTGGTTTGGTGACACAGGAGCAAAAAACGCCTGTGTGCTGCTGGCACAGTGCAGTGAGGGCTGCTACTGCGCTCTCATTTAGTGCTTCCTAAATGGCGGCACAGTAACAACAGTGCCATAGGGACACATGCAGATGTGCCCAGTGTTAGATATATAGGAACTCAAAAGCAGATGGATGTTCATTTGATACGGTTCAGATTCATAAACACAGGCACCTACCTAATTTCAGGACCCCAGTCTGTACCTAGGCACTGATAAGTATGAGTGGCCTAATTGTTCAAGCAGCAGCCACAGGGTAAGATGAATGGGATTTGTGGGTGTCCGGCTTTTTGCCAGGCTAGGCATTTGGGGGCATTTATACACATATGTTTGTCTGCTCCGACATGCCGGAAATCCAGTGCATTGGAGTAGACTTGATTAATTGAGTCAGTGAAGGATGCATTTGTATAAATGATGAAATGCACGTCAGTGCTAAGAAAATGGCAGCGGTGCACTTTGAAACTAAAACACCTTCGATGTGTTTTAGTAGTTCAAAAGTACACTACCACCATTTTCTCAGCACTGACGTGCATTTCACTATTTATGCAAATGTATGCAACGCAACATAGGGCGCTTTTAAAAACACCTGGTGTTGTGTGGCATGCATGTGGGCATACAGTATAAGTGCCTAAATTTAGTTACTCATGTCTGAAAACATTATTGACATGCACAGAGTTACACAGCAAGAGTTCGTGACAGAGCTGGTAACAGAACCCAGATTTTGAGGCTCCCTGTCCTGTGCCTTAACCACAAGACCATATTTCCTCCTTGTAAATCACTAGTTTATACAATACGTGCTAAGTGAAGCTCATTTTTTATTCCATGATTGTGCTCTGGGGTTGCATTTGGCATCATCTCTGCCAGCAGAAAACGCTTTGGCTTCCTCTCCCAGCACCCTGACAATGGAATGTTTTTTGGAAGGCTCTTGTTCAACCCGTAGGCCTACATGGCCATTACAGTGGTACATACACAGCTATATATGCAATTTTGGCGGACACAGTTGGGAAGGGTTTTGCCTCATTCCTCCATTTCTATGAGGCAGCTGTACGAATAGCTCTCTGCTCCCCATTTATTCAAACACAAAAGAACCAGGCAAGATGTGCCAGCTGGCACATGGTTTGAAGGATATGCCAACTCATCTTCATCACCTTCATTGACTTCTGAAATTCCCCAGTCTGGTGCCAAATGACTTCTTCTAAGGAACCATGTTCAAATAAACAGTGTCAGGCACTTTGCAGTAGAAATAAGAACACATGGCTATTTAGGCATCCAGTTACAGGGGGCGTTCAGTGGTAGAACTACAAAATAGGTCTCCAGCCATCAGAGACTCTTGCTTTCCCTAGTGCATTTCAGTTGACCTGGTTTTCCTGCAGGCAAAACATGAAACCTCTTACCTTTCATAGAGAATGCCACTAATGGGAGGCAACCAGTACACTGTGAGGGAGTCTTGATTCTGACCAATGACCATTGGAGGCATGGGGATTGGAGTGGGCTTTCTGCTCTGGCTCCATTGCTGATACACCAGATCCAAATAGCAGTGCATCCGAGCCACCTGGTTTGGGGTGAAGCTGTCAGTACAGTCATCATCTGGAAGAAAAGAGAAAAGGCTAAGAGAGTGTGGGGAGAAACTTGTTTGTGAAATGTGTTGAGATCCTCAGGTGACAAGTATTATCGTAACCTTTGCTACTAAGTGCAACCCCACTGCAACAGTCTTCTGAAGGACCAGAGGAGGATGGCTAGGGAGAATCCCAGTGGCTTGTTCTACAAGACTCCTCTCTTGTTATTTCTCAAATCTGCCACAAGATGGCACTATTTCAGCAGCCGCTGGCCTCACAAATCCCTTAGCAGCATGGTTGTTTACAAGGGTCCTCCTTAAGTCACACTGCATTAGAGCCCAGGCGACAGCGTAATAACAGGAGCTTACTACACAGCAAGGAGTTGTTTTGGGGGGATAAAGAAAAAGGAAAGAAAGAAAATCAGTTGTTCAGATCAGACCTTGATGCATGTAAAAGAGGCATCATGATTGCTACAGTGCATGACCTGCCTTCCAGACATCCCAAAGGCCCCCTCCTGTGAGTACAGAGTGGGAGCAGAGAGACAAAGCCACAGCTGATGGAGTGGCTGCATTGGGACTAAGCCCATTCACACCAGCTGAGCCTACAGTCCACAGCCTCATCGAAAACATGACCCTGTCAGGACCCTCCCCTCAGGGGTAGCTGAGGAACACCAGAAGCTATCTTGTCCACTGCACAGCAGTGTGGGTGGTGTGTAGGGGTACTACCCCTTTTTGACTGTCTGGTACCCTAGACCAGACTACTGTCAGTTGGGCACATGCCTAACCACTGAACAGGGTGTAACACAGCCAGTCCTGCAATTGGCCACCTGTCAAAGTAATGACACCTCTGCCCCAGATCTTCTCAGTCTAGTTTGGCAGTATTTAAAGAACAAATCCTGAATCAATGGGAATTTGGAGGAGCAAGAGATAGCCTTGGACTTTAAAAAACTGAAAAACTAAAACAGTTCTCTGGAGACAGGAAATGTTGGCACAGATTTTCCCTTTATTCTTCCTCCAATGTGCCTGCTCACGTAAATAGGAATCGCTGTGCTGAAGTCAAAAGAGATACACTTGCTCGTATCAGCAGAGGATCTGGCCCTTGGTTATTATCAGAATTGCACAAATACCTAGATGTGGCACCTGAGGTCAGGGTCTCTGTGCCAGGTGCTGTGAACACATCTGGTGACTGTCTAGTCCTTGCCCCAAGGAACATACAGTCTACAGCACTAGTTTAGATGAGTGACACAGAGCCAGTCCACAGGCCAAATTCAGTGTGTGGGGGCAGTCTACAAGCCCAACCTAGCACCTGAGGTCAGTCCAGGGCCTAATCTGGTATACAGGGTCACGGTTCTCTCGAGTCTGGAAATGTAGTGGTAGGATGAGTGGCAGCAGCATTAATCACTGTGGTGCCAGGAGCTGTGGCAATGAAAGCTACCTCCACTTACCACACCACCACATTTCCACACCCTCTGGAAACCCTGTGGGTCAGATTACACAGTTCCCTGGGCACCCTCTGACCTATGGACCATGCTTTAACCACCTCTGATCTACATAGACAGAAGCAGGAGAAAAGAAGTGTTGTTGCCACACATATCTGTGCAACCAGCCTTGACAGCAGAAGAGATGGGCTCAATTCTTAACTACTGGAAGCATCTCCAGAAAAGGAGCTGCCATCATTTTCTGGAAACCTCAGAAGAATTAGACATTGTGTTTTCATGGCACGAGCCTCAGGGAGAAAGAAGGAGAGTTGGTGTAGTGAGACAATAGTGCATGGACGCTCAGGATATCCAGAATCCCTTGTATCATCATCTTTGTGCAGTTACAACTCCAGTGGTCTCCGCTGAGTCCCAAGGACTGAATTCTATTGCACTTACCCAAGTATTACACCGCTGCATCACCACTGTATGTCAGCAGAATAATTCCTGATAGAGGCTGAGGTTAAAGAAGCATCATCCTCAAGGGTCTGGCCTCCTTGTTAGCAGGGGTGGCCCGATTTCCAGATTTGCTGATTGCTCACACTTCCAATGGAAATCATTGATGTGTGACAGTGCACCACATTTCCGGAAACCAAGTCCCTTAGGTTCATTCCTTTAACCCTTATGCAGCATGTAAGATATTTATTATGTTCATTTACAGATGGTTTAAAGATGGGTTTGAATGCCTCAAATTAAAGATGTTGGTTTCAGGCCACTTCCAGTGGTCTACAGAAAGTCACACAAGAATAGGGAAAAACACCCCACAGATGTCAACAAGGCATTGCCAACACACTGTAGGCCAGATCTTTAGCTGGCATAAATGGCATAGGCCCAGTGCTGATCTTATGCCAGATGAGATTCTAGTCTGGATACCCAGAGGGGCCAACGACCAGAAAGATACAAGCAAGGAATGAAAGGACCACCCAGACTGATGGGAATGAAACATGTGCTAAGTTTCTAGAAAAAGCTGCATCCATTGACTTCTGTTACCTGTGTAGCTCATGTAGTTGTTGAATGGGGTTCCAGAGAAATAAGCTTGGCCACAGGTGTCGTTGCTAGGCTCTGGATCATGGCAGAGTTTACTTTTCGGGGTAGGGGCTGTGTCAGCGCAGAGATCTCCTGTCTCCATGGAAGGTGCAATTTCCCTGCAGGGATCATCACAAGATTCCCTCTCACTCACTCCCTTAAAGACGTGGTAGAGCCCCAGAACATGGCCCACTTCATGGACCATGGTGTTGGTATGGCCAGGCATGCCATAATAAGATGGATTGAGGACCACGCCACCTGGAATTACAAGCATAGTCAGTATCATTAAGAGACAGGCAAGAAGCAGCAGTTACCACTAACCTGTAATCGTCTTTTTCTTCCTGATCACAAACAAGGCTGACTTTCATGGAACTCAGCACCTGGTGAAAGTTGATCACCTCACAGGATCAGGTCCTTTGTGATCTGACCTAACACCTAGGTCGTTAGGTCATCTCAGCTCTGCTCTTTTTTCATGTCTCTTCTGAGATAAAACTCTCAGCCATGTACATCCTTAAATATATTTCTGACCTGGCATATCAATTTGAGATTTGCAATGGTAATGCCATGACAACCTCTGCCTCCCATCGGCTCCTCCACCCCCAGATCACTGCTCTGATGCCTCGATCAGCCTGAGAATAACAGAGCTACTGGTGGTGGGGGTTCCCCCTCCCTGGCTGCTCCTGGGGTCCCTGGAAATGATGCCACCCCTGCATGCCCAGCTCTAGGTCCTACAACTAAAGTGGGGGGAGGGCAGTGGGACAGGGAATTGCCAGGCATCTACCAGGCCCAGTGGGGGTTGGATCTAGGTGTGTGGTGGCATGGACTGCAGAGACCCTGGAAGCAGACGAGGAGGAGGAATCCCTCCTGCTTCTGCCACTGCCACTGCCCTTGGGGTGACTGGGGTGGCAGGGCAGTGATCTGGAGGTGAAAAGACTGCGTGTGGGGTGGAGGGTGGATCCAGGGGCTGATGGGCAGCAGCAGGGTGATTCAAAGGGTGGAAGGATGACCCTCCCCCACTCCTTCCTGTCCTATACTGTGGCTAGAGAGCCGGCAAGCATGGCAGGCATGGAGCAGGCTTGCAGCCTCTGCCCACATGCCTGCTTGCCAGCCCTCTAGCAATGGGTCTGGGCAATGCACATTAGGCTATAACCCCGAATGTGTGGCTGATCACTAGTGCTGGCTAACCTTAACACAGAATAACATTCCTTAAAATGAGCACCTGCTACCTCTAACAGGTAATCTCACCCCTAGCAGCTAAGGACTACATTCAAAATTGGGTGTAAAGTGATGCAGATTAAAACCCAAAAAGAGATGGGTCTGCTAACTATCACACTGAATTTGACTTTAAATGTATTATTTATTTTGGAGCGGGGATTCAAAAGCACCTAGTGGAAGGCAATCCAATAAGTCAATCACACCACGTGCTCCTCACTCATTCACAAGCTTCTGAAGCCTCCCTCCCCCTCCTCCCCCCTTTGTTTTCAGTGGTGCTTTAGAGTTGATGAAGCTGCCAGCTTGAATAAACTGGAGCCTTCTGTTCATAGCCACTACAGTGCAAGCCTACCCATACTACCTCCACCGAGTGTCCTCATTCTTAATTACAGAACTCAGGAAAAGGCTGTTTATCTTCACGCAAGCCCATTCAATCCCTAGTCTCTTTGCCAGGACTATCAGCAAAGCTGGAAACTGGGTAGGGATTTACAGGGACATGTTGACACCTACTGATGGAAAGCAAAACTGAGACTCACCGACTCACTCTTCATAGCTTACCAAGTAGCCTTCCCCAGTGGTAACCATGATGTGATTGATACCAAAATGAACGGGTCCAAGTCAAGCCTCCTAAGGCATTCCCTGCCTTAAAGAATGTGTGTTTTCCTTTCCTAAAAACTGCACGTGGATTTAATGCTTACACAAGTGAGGGGCTATTAGCATGGATCAGAGCCAAACATAGCATAGCATTCCCTATGCACCCTCCCAATGCATTGCAGTCCTGACCCTGAGCGCCCTCCCTGTTCTTACAGCTCTGGGGCTGTGCTATATTGGATGGAAATATTTTCCATTGGGAACATTTTTTATGTAAAGTTGCTTTTTTTTTCCATCTAAATTAAGACAATTTCTGGCAGAAGTTTTCATTTCTTCTGAAATTTTAAAGTTTTTTGACAGAAAAATTATAAAGAACAACAAAGGGGGGTTTCCCTCCTCTTCCCCCTCCTTTTGTCCTCTCTCTCTTCTTTTTTCTATTTTGCTACTGGAAAAGGGAGAAAAAACAAGGGAGAATTCAAAGACGTTGGGTCAGCAAGGCAGCCTGAGAAGATAAATCATTGCAGCTGAGAGACAGCAGTAGTAGGCATACTCAGGCTAGGGCTAATTTAGCTAGCCCAGATGCTAATACAGTGAGATACGGGGGACTATACAGGCTCACCCAGAACCCTCAAGCAGCTAGCATTTGCTGAAGCTTGTTCTGTCCTGTACTCACTTCTGTTGATATGCTTGCTAGCTACATCCAGCCATTGTGGAATCATGCCTCCAAATGCAATGCAGACATAGCCTCAGGCAGGTTTGATTGAACTCTAGTCTCTGGACTAACTTGCTACACTACTGAGCTACCTCAGGTCTCTTCCTTTTGCTCAAACCTAGAAAGTACAGGATATGCTTTCTAAGGGACAGCTTCATTCTGATTGTATTGTTCTTGGGTTTACACCAGCATGACTGGCTGCATCAAAGAAGCTACACCAGATGTGCACTAGGGTGGGACTGAGATCAGGCATGAAGAGGTAGATTCTGCCCTGATGCATGTCCTGAGATGGTACTTCAGCAAGGGCAGGATTTGGTCTAGAGACCCCGGATTTGCAATCTATTACACCAGTATAAATCCCAGGTGACTCCACTGAAGATGCTCTGGTCTTACAATCATTCTATGGAGCAATGTTTCTATAGCACTTTTTCACGCACAGCCACCTCCCCACCATATCTGCTCTCACTTTACAAGTGGGCTGTAGCCCGCTAGCTGGAAGCCATTGTTATATAGGCTGTGGGCTCCTGAGATAAATTTGGTAATTTGTAAAACAGCAGCGCACATATGACACTGCAAAATCAAAGCACTGTATTGCCATTAATCAATTAGGTGAGACCGTTCTGGAGCTTAAATACTTCTTGATTGTTCTTCCTGCTGTTTCTCCCAATATGGCATAGCATCCTGGTTCGTGGGGGCCCTGCAGCCTCTGGTGCAAAGAGGTGATAAAGTGACAGAGGGTCCCCAGTGAATACACACCTAGATGAGAGGGTCCCAAGGTCCCAAACACACACTTGCTGACATCTCCATGGGAGTCACAAGAACAGGGGGATTTTCAGGGCATGGTGGCGGGTAGGCCAGTGAGACTGACAGGCTTTACAGGTTCTGGTTCCTGTTTTATCCACCATGTTCTTTATGCTCTTTTTAAATACAAGGATGTAACTGAATGTAGTTTCCCTATTTCCTCAGGGTGGGGTGTTTGCACAACTGGGCTATCAGTTGGCTGCCACAAGCCCCAGGGATGTGTCAGCACCTGGGTTGCAAGCTAAAGCTGCCTTCAGCACTGCCCAAACAAGTGCCAGGGGAGCAAACTAGCCTTCCACAATGCCACAATTTGGGCAGAAGTTTCCTAACGCAGTCCCTGCACAGGTTGCTGCGCTGCCACGGGGTTGACTCACAGCCGTGTTCTATGCCAAACCAATGCAAGTTTTACCTTTTACCCATTTTCTCATCCAGCTGCACCTGAAAAGCAGTGTAGGCCACCCACTTACATCCCTGAAGCATCCAACAAAACCGCACACCAGGGCTGAGTTTGGCTCAACCAGGTTACCAAGAAGAAAGACCTTCTTTCCCCTGCTAGAAAGGCCAAGGGTGAGTGAGCAAGGGGGCACTCACTCAAAAGGAAACCCTAGCAAATCAATAGAAACGTTTTTCACATTTTAATCAAAGCAAAGTACAAGAGGGGGAAAAAAAGCCACTCTCCAGCCAAACCCAAGTCTGAGCAAGGCAGGAGGCTCCCTGCCCAAGGGCTGAGAGGAGGAATGCACATGCAGAAAGAAAATAATGCTCATAAATACATGAATGGGATGTTAAGAACCGGCATTAAACCTGCAGCACTGACCGCGAAGAACAGCAAATCAATCCATCCGGGTCTGATTGCTCGGGGCACCAGGGGCCCTGAAATCTAATATTCCCACCTTCACACAGAAATCTGAAACTTTCCACTCCAGGGGAATAAAACGTTATTCTAATAAGGAAAGAGAGCTGCTGCCGACAGCAACTGCCAAGACCCTGTACCCATTTCCCCCCCCAAAAAGGAAAGGCACATTTTTTTTTAAGCTAATGAATGGATGGAATAGGAAAGGAGGAAGGACTATGACCCCCCTCCCTGAATTTCCCTTCACTTCCTCCATCCGCGTTGCTCCCTGGTGAGCAAAGAATGTCAACAAGCAAACTGCCCCGAACCAGCAGGACTGCCCTCAGTGCAGGCCCCTAAAACCAGGTCCAGAATCTGCAATCACTAAAAAAAGGGCCTGTACTGGGGGAGTGAACACACACACACACACAATCCCACTGCAATAAATCTATTCCCCTTCATTTCCTTCCGCCCAGCATCCCACTTCATTGCTGCCTCACCTTTTTTCCCTCCTTCACTTTCACTCTGTGTAAACCTGTGGGACTGACTCAAAGACTGATTTAAATGGTTTTTAAATGAAACCCTCACATCAAGCCAGGGTACTCCATGGACATCTTAACATCACCCAGATGCACTAACCCTGCCAAACACAAGCCTCTGCCTTACCTTCACACAAGCTTGACCTTCATCAAAGCCTGTTAAGCTAAAGGTGCTAGTGATGTTACAGAGGCCTGGCTTTGTAATGACATCATTACACATCAGACTAGCAACAGGTGTTGTTTAATGATTTTGCAAAGGTCTGTGCTTTGACTTTGAGATTAACCCTTCATGCTAAAGGTGCTGAACTAAGACACCCTCTGAAGGCTAAACCTCAATGTCACTGAACAGTCTGAGGCATCTGATCAGCAGCCATCACAACAGCATCTGCGTTGACGTCCATCCTCCATGCTACATTGCATGAAGAAGTGACTTCAGAAAGGCCCTATTATCATACCAGCTGGTTAAAGGAGTTCAACCATGGAGTTCACAAAAGCCTTTTCCCTTGGAATTCACTGGTACATCAAAGCAACACAAAACAATATGCCTAGGTTTACAACTGTTTAGCAGAAC